AAATAAAAATGTTATTCACTATTTCAATTACACCTTCTTAAATTTTCAATTAACCACATGTTCTAATAGTATTTACAATAATGCAAAATTTTTCGATGCAAATATTCAATTAGGCCTGGGTAACACTGTGTTGTGTGGCATTTTTGTGTTGACGCCGTGTGTCACTGTGTCCCAACACCTCGCCAGTTACGACCCGACAGCTTCATTCCGCCTTCTCATCAAGATTTCGGATTTCTTTCGGCTTCCAACACATAAAAAGTGTCGACGCGTTGTATTGACTCGGCAAGCCGTATCGGTAACGCCGTGTAGACACCTGAAAATCCACTGTGTTACCCAGGACTATTTCTATGACCCATTTATTACCGACCATCTGGATAGACAAAAAAAATCGATCACATGAAATTAATTGCGAGGAATTAATGATTTAAAATTTATTGAACAGTTCAAAATATTAAAATATGCTGAATAGTGCTTTATTTACCTGCATTTACGTATAATTAAGAAGGCCAGAGCAACAAAACCAAGTCCCACCAGGACACAGGCAATGGATATCTGAAAATACAAGACAAATATTGGTTAGTTTCACAGCTTCAAAGAAAGAGGTCGGTATGAAATAGTTCCTAAACAATTGCTGCAATTTTTGTTAACGATGATTTCTTTAATTAATTTCCTTGACACGCAAAATTAATCAATAAATTGTTGAAAAGGGGAGTAAAGAACGTGATATAGTTACATGGCGCATTTAGCCCACCACCCCAGAACCATAAAAGTAATAATTTTGTTCCTTTATTTAATTCGATTCAGTCACAACATGAGTGAAGAAATTCGAGTGGTTTTAACCCAAAAAGCGAAATTTGAATATCAAACATTGAGCAGCAGTGGATTCGGCTTCTCCGGGGCACGTAGTAGAAATTCAGTCTTTTGTTGTCTATCAAAGTAGAAAAATTATCGTGAGTCGACATAAACTCAGCGATAGTGTTCTACGCGCTCTCATCAAATACAATAGAGTGAGCCTCCAGAAAACTAACAATATCGTTCATGCTACAATAAATTTGATCACCGGGTTTCTGCTGTATTGCTGCTAGAGGTGTGTGTCATGTTGTTATAAATTGTGCAAAAAATCAGTTTCAATTAAAAGACCATCTGAATTATATTTTTTTCGATGTTTTTTGAAAAATGTGCTCTAGATTTCGTTCTCTATTATTTGCTTCTCTAAAATCCAGTTCTCTATGTTCTCTTCATCGCGCTTCAGATTGCCATACTCTTCAAATTCTTCTTATCAAATTGGGAAACTATTACGAACCCGAACAGTCCGCTATTTAGGGCGCTCTATCTGCTCTAAAATGTGTAGTGCCAGACAGTCTATGAGATACGTTGAAGAAAATCAAAAAATACTGGAAATTGTAGAAACACCTCCCATAGACGATGTTTTCAACCATTATTGGTCTTTATTTATGGGCTACTAATGGTGGTCTCTGGTCTCTATGACTGTTAAAGCGCTGTAAAGAATGTAACTACTGGACCTGGAGAAATGTATCAAAAATGAAATTCTATATTGCTTTATCGAGCCTACAGCGTCTAGAAGGGCTTAGCGACCCGCAAAATCCATTTGAATATCAAAGCATATTTTTTTGGACCACCCCACAAGAGTTACGAGGGAGGTCGTTTAGGTTTTCAAATACTTATTACTAACTTAGCGGTACTGCCTTAACTATGAACGTTTCTGTTTGCTCACTTTTTGCGTGCCCCGGTTGTAAAGTCACAGAGTGCTATAAGTAATTATACAGGGTGATCCAAAATTTTTGGTTTGCAAAATGCTATAAAGCAACAGCACAAGCATCAAGTTTGTCATCAATCAGTACTTATTAAAGTGCCCGCAAATGGTTTTGGGCTAACATCAGTTTGGCATAAAATGAAAATAGCAAATGAAAATACTTCAAAAACATACTTAGCTATAGAGTATTATACCGAAAACATATGTATATTGTTCAGTATAATTTATGAATTTAATATACAAGGTATTTTACTGCAAAGGCGCGAACATTTTGAAAATATTTTTGATCGTTTGCCTTCTGAAAAAGTTCCTAATTGTAGTTTGTCGTTTATCAGTCGAAATGGTTTTCCGGCGCAACAGGCTGTATATCCATTTCAAGTTGCAAAACTGTAGTGAAATCTTAAGCTGACGAACCAGCTAAATCGTGACGCTTGGGGCTCACTGAAGTAATTAGTCTGACCCTTAGCCTGAAAAGTTTGGAGAACCCGACTTATCCGAACAAACTAGCCTAAAGGAAATGCCTGAAAAGTTTGGAGACGGGGTCTACAAACTTTTAAGATTTTCTCTTATTTTTTAAGCTAGTTTCCCAAATTCTTTTAATGGAGTGTGTAACTTAAGCTACATTTCGTCATTTCGAATTTACTTAAAGTGTAAAGTGCAATATTGCAAATATGAATCATATCTCTAAACAGCCGAGTCCGAAACTCATGTTTACTACGACTTCTTCGCTTATTTTGGATCATGTTTCACTCGTTATTTATCAGCCAGTATACAAGCCGAATAAAATGAAGTTTTTAACCTAGGGC